AAAAAAAAAAAAAAAAAAAATAAATTTTCCGTCATGATCATTTTGCGTAACCACTATCAAATTAATTAATCATATTGATATTCATTCATTCCTTGACGAACAAAAAAGATTCTGTCTAAATGAATTAGCAATAGATTACAAATTTTGACGGATAAACCTTCCCGCTTCGCTTTCTTTTTTGTTCTTTAAAAAAAAAAAAAATCACTCCCAATCATTTCATTGTAATGACAACCAATAATAAAAATCATTATAATAATAATAAACTAATGATCATTAAATGACATCTTAGAAAAAAAAAAATTATGTTGATCATGAATATTCGTAAAAGAAAGAAAAAAAAAAATTTTTTAACCTATCGAGAAAAAACAAAGTTACGTCATTTTGTATAAAAAAAATTGATTTATATTATTATAATTGGTTAAACAATTATTGTTTCAAAATGATCATACCAATAAATAAATGATCATTTGTCTAACCCCTTAAAATTCATTTAGAACCAAATTCGGTTAATCAAATCACTTAAATCACTTTATAAACATGACCAAATTTATAACTTTTAATAAAAACCAATATTATTAATATTATTTATTACAATGAAAGAAATAGAAATTATAACAAAGTGACATTGAAATTAACAAAGTTCATCCAATCCATTTTTTTTTTTTTTGAAAATGTTGTATTATAATATATATATTTTTTTTTAATATAATGAAAAAAATTAAAATGATGTCGGTCTCACCCTCAATGATGAAAGAAATTGTTGTTCGACGAATAATTTTATCGAGTTTCACAAACATATTAATATTATACATTATTATTATTTGGATCTTTATATTGATCTCGTGAGAATATTTGTAATTTTTTACTAATCTAAATAACTAAATGTGGATTTGTTTATAGGAATTGTCACTTTGATTTATATTATACGTACTTTCATTCGTTGATACAATACTTGATTCTAGTTACCAAATTTTATTTATTTTATTGAATAGGAAATTACAAACTTACATTCTTTGTTGTTTTCTAAATTTGGGACAAAAAAAAAAAATACATTTTCAATATTAAAAAAGAATTATTTGATATCAATTTTAATATATGTATTCGTCATATAAAATTATTTGGGGTTTGCGTATTTTAAAGTAATCAAAAACATTATTCAACTGAAAACTCTGCATAATGGTAATGTAAATGCTGCGCATCTTAAAATCGGATTTAATTCCGTGCAAGTCGTGCATTATCTCGCATAACTTGATAATCACTTTGCTTTCGCTCCATTTCCGATATGCCAATCTTAATAACGATTCATTTTAATTTTAAGTCAGCAACACTAGAACAAAATGAACATGGCAAGGCCGATTAGGCACATACTGAATTATGCGTTTAAAAGATTAGGCGCAATTGAAATGAATAATAATTATAGATGTTCTAACCATATAAGTTTTAAAATACGTGACCAATAATAAAGTCGAATCATAATAAATTAGGAAATTAACGTGGAAAAAAAAAATAATTTTTTTTTTTTTACGTATCACAAAAATTTAAAATATGGAACTCATGACTTATTAAAAATTTACAACAAATAATATGCAAGTGATCGAAAAGTTGAAAGATGTTTCCTAAAAAAGAAAATTGTAATAGTAAAAATTTTTTTTTTGTTGTAACATTTAAGTATTTATCCCCAACATTTCTTATTATTTGAAAAACACTACATTCAAAAAAGGAATCCCGTCAAAGTTTAGAATTACACAGAATGTTTATGCAAATATTTTTATATTCGGAAAAATCGGACAACTTTAAACCAGAATTTTTTAATATCTCGTAAATCCCGTACGGCCGTACCACATAAAAAACTATTACAAAATTATTACATCATTGACTTTGTTATACCTTTTTTTTTTTTACTTTCGAATCGAATAATAACAAATGAAATAATAACATTTTATCATGACAATATATATATATATATACTTTTCCTATATTTTCAAATTCTAATAAAAAGGCTTGAAATTTTAACATGTTTTCAATTTAATTTATGTCCTTTTTTTCTCATTTATTAACCTTTTACGAGATATGGACAATAATTCATTATCGTATTTTGCTTCGACGTTTGAACCTTCTGTATTTATAATAGATGGTCATTTTTACGTTAATATACCGATAGCTGGAATTTATAATCATCGTTTAGAATCTGAGAAATATGAAAAATATAAAACTCTCAATAATTTTTGTTTGTTCCGAATTTTATGTCAATCAAAATTGACTAAAACAAATAGTAAGAATGTTTCCATTGCTGCTTCTGACCTTTGGAAATATGTTTCTCAAGATTTTAAAGATAGTTTGCAAAGATATTGTGATTATATAAAATCCAGAAAAAACACGTTCCATTTTAAAGGATTATACAATCGAAAGGATTATAACAAACCTCGTAATTGGAAGAAAAAACCTAACGAAACTAATGAAATTTTACCGGAAATACGTTGGATTCAACGTGAAGAATTTATGAATCAATATTTTCAAGATGAAATAAAAGAATTAAATTTCGTTGAAACAGAACCTTGTAATTTTAATCCTTCTCAATATTATAATATTATTTACGACGCAAGAAAAGCCGAATTTGTAGATAAACCTAAAAACTCTTTCTTATCAAGTATCAACAAACAATCGCAAGATATTAAAGAGTTGAACTCTAAACAAGATGATAATGTTAATAACGCAAAAGTCTTATCTGATAAATTAATGTTAAGTATGATGAACGTATAAATATATAATCATAGATTTATCGTAAAATTATTTTTTCAATTTTTTTTCAATGGAATACGGAAATAATTATGGTTAAAATTAAGGTTACTTTTTAAGGTTTCTAAGATATATATATATATATGATTAAAAATTTTAAGCTTAAATAAAGATTCATTTCTAAGAAATATTTAAATGAAATTTAATATTGCAAATGTGTAATTCCTGTGCGAATTTTAATTCTAACAAAGTATTATAAAATAAGTTACGCGTATTACAATTTAACACTCCTCGTTATCATTATTTATTTAGATATCCGTCCGGAATTTTGTACGCGATTTCATCACTTTTTGGTATTGAATGATTAATATATTAAAGGAAATATTACCAATAATACCGATAATTATTTACTCTCATATAACTGTCCTCGTTATTCAGCGTTATCCAGATCAATCTTTTTAAATAAAGTAACTAGAAAGGATTGATTAAATACCGCCCTAGTGGAATTGTACTGACTCCCATTCTATTTTTTGGTAACAACTAACAACTCATTGAAAAATTTTAACCACTATTGAATAATTTCACTACTATGAGGCACTATCGAGTTTGAAGATGCTCCTGAAGCCTGAAGGCATCAGATTCGCCTCACTTACCATTTCTTCGTGACGTTAACCAATATAAATACCACCGTACAATATATTCAATAACTGCAACAACTGCCACAGGATTGATAGTTGCACCAGAATCTACGTTGGTGTATAAATACTGCATGAATAAGACCAAAATGTTTAATTGATGAAAGAATTAAAAACAAAGGACCTTATAGAAAAAGTATATACGTTTTTATGCTGAAAGACCTCACATGATACGTTTTTTCAATATAATTTCATATGAAAAGCGTATCTTGCGAGATACGGAAAAGTGCACAATTCCGTATCTCACAGATCTCACAGTATAAAAAAGTGCCCAAACGTATCTCTCAGTATACAAAACGTATAAAAAGCGTATCCACTTTTTTTTATAGGGAGAAACTTATTTCATATATTTTTACCGGTGCGTGTTTACGTTTACTAAAAAATGCAGATGGAAGCTAATTTATCATGATGACCCTGTAAAAAAAGTCGATCCGTTTTTAATATTCCATCTTTTTTTTCCGTAAAAGGTTCGTATTTCCGGAATTAATAACCTTATATCACGGAATTTATCAAATTATTTACATTTTCCGTGAATGGATCCGTGAAACTCATTTTTATAGAGTTTTTACAGAAATAAAAGTAACGGATAAAATTTTTTATAGGGCGAATGTGGCTCTTATAATACCGTAAATCAATACAAAGCTATTGAAAGCTATGTAATAACAAAAGGATAAAGGATAAAAAGAGTTTAAATAATATTTGTTTTTTCATAATCATTAGTTCTTATAATGGTATAATGGTAGTGTTGCTACTATCCCAGCGACCGATTAAATCGTTAAGCGCTTGCTAAGTTATCATGCCATTTTTCTATAGAAATACTGTGATTGGACGATCTACAATCACGTTATATTAATTTTACTGTGCGAAAAAATATGTTAATATAACGTGATTGTAGATCGTCTAATCACATGGTACGAATAACAGCCGCCTTGATTTTTCTTCGTGAATATTTCAGATCAGAATTTTTAAAGCTAAATCATAGATTAAAAAATACAGAAATGATACTCTTAATTTATGCAACATCAAACGTAATAATTAATACGGCGAATTTATTTTATTTAGTTCTTTTATTCAATTAATTTTGCATAGAAAAAAATTTTGAACTCATCAAACAAGCTTTCAATCCAATTACTCGAAGATTTTGTACATGAATCGCCCGAGTTCGCAAGATTCACACTACATTTGTCACACTACATTTGTGGACAATGCCTAGCCTTTCCGTCCTTTTGATCATTTAATGCCATATTTTATAACACATTTTTTTTAAACGGTAATACGGTAATACGATGAGGATTATTTGAGTTTGCTTACAAAGCTCCTTAACAAAGTTCACAGCCCAGATCCAACCCAATGCTGCAAAGCCTTTGTTTTGTAGTCTTGAGTAAGGCACGACCTGTAACCTTTTGCTTGCAAATTTTTTCCCAATCAACTTTCCCGGCAAGACGTGGTGCCCTTCTTTGCCATAATAGAAATACAAGCTTGCGGTGATTTCAAACAAAAAAAAGACAGTAATAACATTATAAAATTTGAAGGAACAAATGATACTAAATCTCATTTTTATTATTAACAGTAGGTATAGCAAAAGGACATATTAAAAAATAAAATAGAGTTACATAATTTGTAACAAAACGCTAAACTTTTTACCTAAATTACGATTTACGACTCAAATTTACTTGGAAAAAATTTACAATATGACTATGATTCTACTTTTTTTTCTGATTTGCATTTGTCCTACTTCAAGTTCTTTCGTCCCTCGATTAAATGCTTAAAAAAATCATTTTCTTCAATTAAAAAAAATAAATTAATATAAAGATCAATTAAATAATTTTAACCAAAAAGACTACGAAATTAATAATTCATACCTCATTCTTGGCAATATACATATTCTAAGAATTAAATTCAATTAAGTTCGTGCATCATGTTAGGGACGGTTGGATATTCTGTGGCTCATCTTTAGTATGCTCAAAAAGTTGAAGATTTTGTCGCACCTATTTTACAGGATTTTGAACTTTTTGGTTGGGTACATCTTATATTTAATAAAATAAAAACAAAAGTGGTTAAATTACATAACGCATATTATAATATAAAAATATAAAAAAAAATTATATGAGAAAACATACTCATATCTTATTGCTTAATATAACTAACTGCGTTTCTTAAATCAAGTTGCAACTCCTTAAATTTTGACCTTCAAATTGTTTTTTATTCATCCCATTGAAAAGATCACTAAACTCTTTACATGTTAATAAATATGATTGGATTTTAGCAGTTGATTAAATTTATCAACAACAATTAAATTTGTTTATTAATTTACAATTACCCACTGTCCTTTTTATTTACGTACACAAATGGAAATGAAGTAATCTTTTAATTCAGTCTTGTATAACATCAAAAGTTCTTGATTTCGTTGAGATATGAGTTTTTGGTCTTAAGTATAAGGATAACTATGATAAACTGTGGATAAAAATGAAATTTAGGTTAGAAAACTTCTAAAGGGAATGAAAGTACAAAGAAAATGAAGGAAAATAATTCCTATAAAGAATACAGAGGGAGAGTAGCTTCTAAAATAAAAAAAAAAACTTGAAACTCTACCTTTTTCCATTAATTTTAGGATCATTATAGTGTGATAAATTATTTTTTACAAAGCGAGATATAAATTGTGGCTTCGCCTTTAAATGTTCAATGATCACATTACCGTGTGTAAAATTATTCGTATTTTATACTGCGTCATGAATAAAAATTATTTATGACGCATTGCTACCGTGACTTTAACGTGTAAATCAGCTTTATATGGGAGTTGATCAAGTTTTATCATATGATCGATGATATAAATGCGAGTCTATCATCATCATAAGCCACCAGATTTTTTTTCCTTGAAAAATATCGTTGAACGTTACAAATGGGAACACACAGTATTGTCCTTATTCGTGAACGTAAACCTAAAAGAAGAGAAACAAGTTTGCTAGGCGGACCAGCTAGAAGTAAATACTTTTATGAATATTATGTTTGTGTTTATTTACACTTTGATGGATATGTCGAAGGTGGTGTGGGTGAATGGTTGGCTAATTTTCTCCGCAAATTTGGACAAGATTGTTCAACACAAAATGATTCAATGATTCAAACTTATGCTGATACCGGCCTCCTTGGGGCTAAATTAATTAACGCCTTCTATTCGAGTAGTAAGTTGATTATGAATCCACGTCTTGTTCCTATCGAGTCCTTGGAAAACATGTTCCAAGTTGATCACGAATATGCGTACATTATTACTACCTCGTACGATGAAAATGTTGGTATAAATGATAAATCCATCATGTTAAGTGTATGCGACAATAAAGATTTTATTTTAACTGCACGACCGGAGAAGTTTGTGGAAAAGTACTCGTATTATATGGAACAGATGGAAAAAAATAAGAAATCATTTGCAGAGATCAATTATGATGATGAAGTGGAAAAAGAAGGGTATCTTTCAGAAGATCAACTTCTTATCGAATTTCTAAAAACCCATTGATAATACAATGGGTTCTAGCATGATTACAATAGTAAAATGTAATCAGAATTTAAATCATATATAGTATTATAGCAATAATTATTATTATTATTTTTTGTTTAGCTCATGAAAGCAGATAAATATTGTCATTTTTTACTTTAAATAGTTGTAATTCTTACTAGCACATTTGAAATGAGATTGATATTACAATAAATATTTATCTTTGATAATTTTGCTATATTATAATAGTAACGATTTATGTGGTTAACTGTCATTCTTATTTCTAACATCGTAACGCTATAATTGGAGTTAATACGTAAAATTGGTTCGTTCTAGTATTGATTGTAACTAAAATTAAATATTCAATTGATATGAATACTAAGATTTAACGTGATATACGTGTCAGATCGATGAATTGTTACATGGCCAAAGCGTTTATACCGATTAAAAAAAAAAGGAAATTGTTGTTAAATGAATATAATCAAAGTTTATTTGCATAATTTTGAAGATGAGAATTAAATAATATACAGAATTTTTAATGTAATGAAATTGGAAATTACGTGTAATTAATTATTAATGACTGAACAAAATTAAAAATCTATAAAGAAAATTATAATAGAAATCACGTAAATTACCATTCTTTAAATTTCACATTTATTATAAAATTCTGCTTCCTCATTATTTGAAATCATTATATAATTTTTATATTATAACGAAAGTAGATAAAAAATTTCCCCCCTCGCTCTTTCATTTTATGGTGAATGACAATCCAACTTTTTACATCCTATCATTTACCATTACAATTTAAAATCTCTGTGTTAATAAGTGAGTTTACTCGAAATCAATAATTAATTGTTAATCCTATAAAATATTTTTAAAAAAATATTTTTTTAAAAAAAAAAAATTATGATTTAGTTTTCTGAATCTAGCATCACAATCTCACGCTCCTGATCATAGATTAAGAATGATAACTTACGTTAAAATATAAAAAATATAACAAATTCAGACATTGACCACCATCCTGTTTGTTACTAAATTTAATTGATTTCATTTTTCATAATAAAATTTTTCTTTATTAAGTAATAGTTGTTAGTAACGTGTAATTTTTGTTAACCTGCTGTGAAATAATAAATATTTACAGTTTATTAGTAAGATAATAGGAATAAAAGTAAAAAAATTATGACTAATCTTTGCATTAATTTAAAATCAGTATAAAGAATGATCTGATACTGTGGTAAACGGTGCACGCTCTAAACTATTGAAATTTTATGACACCTTCACTTTTTTGGACGAGAATCTCACTTGAAAAAATTTATTTAACGCGTCTTAAAATTCTTTCTATTGTGGAACTTTTTTTGAATTTTCTTGGAAGTAAGCGGTTTAAAAAAAAAAAAGAATTATTAAAGAAATGTTATTAATGTATACATTTTAATCCTGTCACCTTAACTATAAACGCTCCATGACTCCATGACTCCAATATAAGTATTTTTGTATTAAAAGATCGTATAATTCAATTCCCATGAATTTTATTGAGTTTTAGGCAAATGAAAAAAATAAAAGAATTGGTAAATCAGTTTTGGTGGTTTCCAACAAGAACGTGTAGTTTGTGTCCAGGACCCGAGCCATAAATACATTTTTCAGGGCTGGAAATACATTATCTATAAGAGAAAAGATCTTCCGATCATTTTTACCCCTACCTTTTTATGTATTAAAAAAACCTAAAATAAATTAGACCAAAACCCTAGACTACAAAATCAATTTTTTAATTGCTTGATCTTGTAATCATAGATCAATAACTTCCTTTTGTTTTTACGACCTTATTGATCCAGCAACATGATTTATTTATAAACTGATTTTTTTTAGATTTTCTAAAATTTATAAAACTCAGCTTGTCTCCATCTTTCTCTGTTGAATCCATAATATATTTCTTTTTTTATCATCTTTAGTATGTTCTCTCGTTCCCATTTATTAACTTCTTCACAGCGTTCTTTCCAAATTGTATTTTTTGACTCAATTACAACTTCACCAATAAATTCATATATAGCTTTCTTGAATTCATTGTTATTTGAATCTGAAAAAAGTTTTTTATTTACCAAACCTTTAATTATTTTATTGCATTGAGTAATACCGTTGATCCTTGATTTAATATATCGTTAAATTTGGCTTTCAACTGATAGATTTTACATTCCTTTGCGATTTTATTAATTTTATTCTCAAAACCATCGTACAATTTTTGAAAGTCTTCTATGATCGGTTTTGTTATTTCTATAATTACAGATATGTTTCAATTTTCATGCGTTCCCTTACATCTAATACACGTATCGTTTTTATAAATATCTGGATAATGTCTATTCAAGTTATCAAGTGTAGGAAATTTTTCTAACAAATTTTTTGGCCTAATAATACTGTAATATGTCAAATTGTTTCCTTTATCGTTGTTTTCTTCGAAAAATTTCATAACCAAATCATACGTTAAATTTCACTATCTGAATTTTTTTTAAAAAAATCTAGTGATAAAAATTGCACATTATATTTAATCCGTTTCAAAAACTCTCTAGTTAATTGCCTTGCTAGGATGAATTAAATTCCATGCTTGTGTTTCTATATTCATTTCGCTTTTAATGTCACTTAAACGTAACGTTCTAACTTCGCTAAACTATCTGCTATTTCATTACCTTTAATGTTAGATAAAATTACTTTCGAAAAGGTGAAAGCGCACAAAAAAATCATACTCATTTAAAAATTCTTCAATCCATTTCCAAATTTAAATACTATTGACCTTCAAAATCCTCCTCGTGTTTCTCATATCTATACTTTTATCTATTATGCTCCAAGTAGAAGAACCCAAATGATACAGGAACCCTTTGGATTGAAGGATCTCTTATATATATAAACGCTAAATTAATTTACAAGATATAAACAAGCTGCTATCACTTATCCGCCTCTACTTTCTTGATAACATGAGTAAATCGAGTAGACTTCTTCTTTAGAATTTTCCGACAATGGTTTATCCTCATTATCATAGATTTGGACAAGGAAAGCTAAAGTGACAGTATAAGATTAGAATATACAGCGCAGACATTACAATTATCAAAAATATTAAACGTCACGTTCGTGTTGACCAACACGAAGGCTTTCCAAATATTTTTCTATCACTCCTACTTTATCTATATAGCCTAACAACAACTTTTTGTCCTCTTTATCCCTATTATTGTCATTAATCTTACCTAATCTAACGCCAAAAATCTCCATATTCAAACTTCTCTTTATATTCTTCTTTTAACACAATCTCCACCCTTATTGACTTACATTATATTTAAAAAACTTATTCACTTTTAATTTTCTAACTATTCAAAATCACTCAAGTTCTCTATAACATTTTAGTTTGGAATAATTATCAATATGACGTCATTATCCTGATTATTAAATTCAATGACAAAGTAAGTCCGGTGTGAAAATCTAGAAACTTCTATCGATGAGATTATTATTTCAAAATTAAATCAATATGCAGTAGGTATAACACTAGTTAGTAGTAAAATTTAATAGCTATAAAAAATATAACCGTATAATATTTCAAAGTAAACAACAAGCAATAAATTTGCAATTTTAATATTGGCACCATAAATACTCTATGATATGATATATATTTTTTTTGTCGAAATAATACAATTGTTGGTAAGACTGCATTATTGTATTAAGAAATTTAATTTTTAGGTAATTTCTGACATTGATCGAATTCTATATTCATTATGCGTGCATTAAATGTTTGTCATTTTTTCAATTATACGTTAATTAATTCATTTATTCATTTGTTTTTGAAAAAAAGTATGTTTCAGGTAGATTAAATTTAAGCTAATACTTAATACAAGAGAATTAATTTATTAATTTCTTTGTCAAGATTTATCTTTTTTTTTTAAAAAAAAAAAAGAATATTAATAACAGAAAAAGAAGATACTTTTGTCAGATTGCAACTTTTATTCATATTGTTATATTGTCCTATTTACGCGCGTAGTTCATCTAGGACATATTTTATGTTCTATATATTTCGTTTTATCAAATATATGTAATTTGGGCTATGTATGAGCTCTACTAGTTATAAAAATAAAAATAAATTAAATAAAAAATATTACCTATTAAATTCCTTATTTAATTTATTAATTTATTTTTTTAAGATAACTTGCTGTAACTTGTTACTTTGCAACAGGATTAATGAGTTTAAATTAACATGAAATTTCATATATATTATATATTGAGGAAAATTAGTCATTACAACAAGGTTTTTATTTATTTATAATTTTGATTATAATGTGAGTGAAAAATAAAAATTGATTAAAATTTTTACTATATTAAATAAAATAAATTAATAATAATTAATAATAAAAAAAACAATAATAAAATAAGTATTAATTATACTAACTAATAACTATTTAAAAAATTTATATTATTTAAAAAATTATTAGTGTTATTCTTTTTGGCTGGATATTTTTAAAAACCATATTTATTCTACTACCTAAAAGAAATCATATAAAATATACAGTATTTATTTTTATTACTTCAAAGCACTGGCCCGATCAAACCTAAAAGGCAAAAGAACGAAGAAAAATGAAGTATTAATAAAAAAAAGTAACCAAGAAAGAAAAATTATAGTAGCGCCACAATATCGATCCGATCACAGATTCAAACCTAAAAGGTGAAGAAAAAAGCAATTAGGAGAAAAATATTACTATTTAGAATTTTAGATTATAAAGGATCGCATCATCCCGAGAGGAAATATGATTAATTATTATGATATAAAAAAAAATCTGATCAAAATTTCATTAACCAGAACTGAATTAGTTCACAAAAATTTCACGGAACGACACGGAATAGATACAGTATATCGTATTTCCATGTTACACAATTCAAAAATCTAAATATTTCTATTATATTCTATTCATAATTATTTATCTCACGAATATTTTTTTATTCCGAAACAACGCCAGATTTTAATGTTTACTTATAATTATTAGCTAAACTTTTTGTTGCACTGAGTTAAAAAAGTTAAAACTAAGTCATTTTTAATTTAATAGCGCAGTATTTTTTTTTTAATAAATACATTTAGAATACGATAATATAACAAATTGAAAATTAGAAAATAATATAAAAAAATTTATTAATGTACAGCACGGTATAATTAATTGAAATTAATTGTACATTGAATTAAAAAGTGAATTATAATCTCCATAACTTTAAAGACCATTTTCAATAAATAGAATTGTCTAAAGTTAAATTCATACATCTGTGTAAAAATGCATAAATGAATTTATTTTTTTAGAATTCAATGTTACGTGATTTAAAAATTTTAACGTTAAGTTCGCGTTCATTATTTATTACCACAATTTTATTTTCACCATTGTTGTTGAATTGGATTACTCATGCAGCTTGTGTGTCATAGTTCGCTGGGTTTTTTTGCTTTTATGTGACATAAGAACATTCATTCATATGTATAAAAAAAAAAACCTATTAATTTTTTTTTTTATTAATTATTTTTTTAAAAAGGAATGACTTTTTATTTATAAAATCAAATTCTAGAATTATTTATTACTCGTACACAGAATAAAAAATATTTTAACTTCAATTTCTGCGCATTGTTATTTACGAATTATAGACTTTTTTTTTTAAAAAAAAAAATAGTATATAAATAATAATGGAGAAGAAAAAGGCAATTTTTGAACGAAAGTTAGTATAATCACAAACGTCATGTAGTGAAACATAGTGTAACATTAAACTATTGTGAAACATTATACAGTAGTAGATCATGCTAAATTTAAATTGTAGTTACGCAATCCGGCGTAAGACACTTAGTTCATTGTTCAAAGTTGGAAAAAAATTTTTTGAAAGCCTTATAATATTATGTCTAATATTCGAAGAGGTGCAGTAATTAATAGAAACTCGTGAATAAAATTATCAAGCTCATCAATATCTAATTGCCTATTTAAATCCAAATCAAGTATATTCGAAATTTTTAATTCTTGAGAAGGAATTTGTTCAGTATTATCATCAGTAGATGGTTCCTCTTCATTATAATTATCAATTTCGTCAACATAACGAATATCATTCAAGGTTGTACGAATTTCTTCAGCTATCTTTTCTTTACCATCATTAGCTAATTCAGATTTACAATTTGTAACGTAATATAGTGAATTTCTGACATACAATGGTATTAAAAAAGAAATTATGGCTTTACTTAATATATTATTTGCTTTGCAAAGCAATGCTCACGTGTCCGAGCTTTTTTTACGGGAAGATTGTAAAATCAAATATCGTCATCATTGAATCAGATCAATAAGAAAATAGCCTATATTTTTCTATTTTACTCATCCTCTTTCTCACGCTTCTCTTCTTACTTTTTTCTCCTTCTTTTCTCATCTTCTTTCCTGTCACAGCTCAAACTCTATTCTTTACAAACATGAGTGTAGAAGTGATTAGTTCTGAAAAGACCGTGCAGGTATTATTTTTTTCACTTTTGTTTGGTCAAACAGTCTGTTTTCAATGATAGATATATTGATATGTTGTATGAAAAATCTCACAACAGAACAGACAAGCTTCAGAATCTCAAAAGGTATTTGTATGATATTTACTGTAAGAAACAATGAAAAGTGAATGATTACTAACAATCATATCAGATTCTTGCACAAATAGAAGAGGCGGTGAGGGGAAAACAGGGTCAACAGGTTGTTGAGGTCCATTTTCCAGATGGTAAACTTAATAACCTTGGTGTGTGCCAGATGATACATTTATATTACAACGCTGAAATAGTCAATTGTGATCGTCTAATCATTAAAGTAAGTTCATTCTAACTTACACATTGCATATGATATTATTCTTACTAATTTTTAAATTAGTATGATGGGGGCCACAAGGAAATAATCCACCGCAGACTATCAAATGTGTGTGAGGCACACAATGGAAATTGGTTTGCAGCGTCAAATGTAATTTGTATGATTGGAAATGATCAACGGAGACCTGATGCTGGAGCTTGGTTCCAATGGCCATCATATGACGAACTACATGTACCTATTAAGAATTGTTGTATACCTCCCGATCTGTGGTTTGAGGTTGTTATTAAATTTTGCTTGAAAACTAAAAAGGAGAAACATGCTAATCTTTACTAATCTTAACTTCAACACATCTGTATTCTATAGGTATTTTATAATAAAGATCCAGATCGGGAGAATGCATTAGAAAAAATTGATATGGTTCAACGTGACCTAGATGGCATTTTTAACATTGAATTCGTCGCAATTACCTTACCTGATGGAAGATATCCTTTTCGTGGGAACCCTAACCCTGGGGCAATTTCAATTCTTGCAAATCAAACTGGCCAAAACACGAGACTTTACCTCGCACCATACTTAATTCACTGGAATGCAAACAACATTCCTGTATACTACATTATAAGCTGGAATCATTATATTGTATTTAGATGTGGTGTTATTCTTCATTTTAACATTATTCTTGATATAATTTCCAGACCTTAAGTTTGGAAAATGATAATTATTCTGCACAACAAAATGGCAAGTTTTTTTAATTATCGTATCAGAAAAATATTAATTTAGTAAATATGATGATAATGTATTAAAAATTATTTTCTTAATTAAATCATAATTACTTTCAATATATTATTACATATAAAGTAAAATTCATTTATATATTTGCTAACAAATACATATTATTACAATATTTACTTAATTATTTATTAATAAAATAACTGTTATCAACATTGAACTACATTTAGTATACACGCTTTTCTTGAGATGAACTAGAATTTTTTATCCCCAAACCATGCATAGTTACTTTTTTATAAATTAAAAAAATAAAAATTGGCAAAATCTAATGAATTCATGTTACTAATATACCATTGTGTTACCAACAAACTTCACTGCAGTCGATTAAGCCACCAACTGATTGAAAAGTTTAATATATCTAAAAAGAGCTTAATTCACTAGTTTCTTTATTTTATTTCTTTAAACTTTTCGTGCTTATGAATTAGAATCAATACTGAGTGAACTCGCTATTACGTCAATAAGATTTCGAATTTTTAATAATCTTATCCAAGCCAGATAAGAAGAATTTCACCTGGTAGGTACATCTGAAATTATACGCAAATAATGAAACCGTTGGGTCATCTCGCAAGACCCAGATATGTTTGATGAACCAAATGATCCAGTTGCGGAACGTCATATGAATGACTTAAAAACTCACAGTACATTGGGGTAATGCCAATGCCCTATACCGAATTGCACGTGAGAAAGAATTGCAAGAAATTGAATCAAATGCAACAGATAAACAATTAGATGCAGGATTACGGAATAAAAACTAGAAAAATGATAATTTTTTTTATAGAGTCAAATACTTTCTAAGCATGAGTCACTCACTTTTTTTCAATAGGTACTCTACTCTCACACCAAACACCATTTATTCGTTTCTCAAGGATAAACCATTTTTGGGAGCTCTTACTTTTAATGTCAAAAAATTAATTCCTGTAATTCCACATCGGGTTACAAGAGTAATTAACCTTACGTTCTCCGTATTTAATGAATTTCTTTATATTAACCTTTTTTCTTTTCAATCTGGGAACTTGGTTACACTGCACCACTTACACAAAGTGGTAAAATTGTTGTTGATGATATACATTGCTCGTGTTATGCTGTTGCTCCACCATTAAGAAGTCATTAATTTACTAATGATTTCTTTTCATTTCTACTTATGGATCATACCCAGTCCTGTTTGTAAGAAAGAAATTCATCCTTATATTCGTGAGGTCAATGGATTCTCGAACAGATAGATTATTTTAACACGATTGTGCTGTTTAATGTTTTTCCGACCCTATAAAAAAACTGGATACGTTTTTAATAATATTTTTATACGATTTTTTTCCTTAGAAATAACATATCATAATAGTCCGTTGAAAGGATACGGAAAAGTGCACAATTCCGTATCAATAAAAATACAATTTAAATACGGAATTTGCATGGAACTCGCACGTAATTTAATTAGGACACCAAATTTATGATGATTTGTAATGTATTTTGGTCATAAAATTTATCACTTAAGCTACAGCTTATTGCTAGTTATATCATAAAAATTAATTTTAAAAAATAATATTTATTAAATAAATATAAAAATAAAATACAACTACAAATATATTATGAAACGTTCTTTCCTAACTATTGCAAACTTAAACAAAAAAAAAATGAAACATGAGAATATTTCTTTAACTCAATCAGAAACCAAATTTCCCCTGTAATCATCCAAGTCTCCAAGAATTGGCATTTCTAAAGTTTGGAGTCTTGTAACAGAAAGACCTACAAAAAAGAAAAAAATCCTGAAGCATTCCACAAAAAAACAAATCTACAAAAAGAAACGACCCATGAAAAAAAATTAATTCACAAAAAGAATTGACCCATGAATCACGTAAAAAAGAATTGATCTACATAAAAATAACTGACTCATGAAGAACTGACCCACAAAGAAGAATCAACCGACAAAAAAAATATATTCAACCTATAAAAATAAAAGAATTTTAAAAAGCCTAAAAAAAGGAGAATAAAAAAAAAATTTTTTGAAAAAACATTTACGAAAATTGGGAAAGAAGGTATTGAGTGAGGAATGAAAGAATAAAATCAAAAAATTTTTTTTTAAAAAAGGAGGGTGACAAAGTTAGGAAAAAGAGGATGATGAATAATTTTTATAAAAATGGGGAGACAAAAGTGGGAATGAAAAAATAAAATCAAAAAAACAATTTTTTAAAGGGGGTGACGAAGTTAGAAAATAAAAGAAAAAATAAACTTTTAAAAAGAAAGGAGTAGTGGGTATGAATAAAAAAGAGGGTGATAAATAAAGAAAAAAATAAGTTTTAAAAAGAGAGCGACAAAATAAGAAAAATAAAGGAAAGAAAGGAAGATCAAAAGCAAGGTTATCAGTATAATCAGTATATGGGGTCTGATCTAGAAAAATCAAGATAAGTGAATTTTTTGGCTAAAATTAAAAAGTTATTATATTTTAATCTAGTCATATCAAAAAGTATAATCTCAATTTTATAAAAAAATTCTCTAACCTTGATCTTGAACATCAAGTGTAACGTTTTTTAGTAATAATAAAAAAAAACTTAGTTAAAAAATGTCAAGTGCGACGTTTCTTAACAAACAAAAAAAGTTTATTTTTATTAAAATCAGATATCCAACTCCCCATGAAAAAGAACACTTGTTAAATATAATACTTATTTAAAAATTTGCATAATGCATATAATTTTATTTGAATTTAAAATAAAAATTTTATAAGTTTATATAAATTTATTTTACACATAAAATCAGATCCACATGAAATGTTGGATCCTTAAAACTACATGAATAGTATATGTAAATTTTACGTATATTTTTCACGGAAGCGTGCTTCCTATTAAACTGTCATGTAATTCGTCAATAGTATTTGGTTACAAAATAATGCAGAGACAGATCTTCATGCATCAAATTGCATCATGTATTATGAAACGTAATATTTGTTACACAATAGGGCTAAAAATCCATTAAAATAATGGACAAATCAACCCGATAAAAAAATTTCTCCTTTTTTTTTTAAAAAAAAAAAAAAAGAATGTGGCGATTCAACGAAGATTTGCTTTTTCTAATATTTGAAAAATTAAAAAATGATAAAAAATCACTTTATTCATGTCTTTTAGTTAATAGAACTTGGTGTGTAACAGCGGTGCCAATTTTATGGAGAAATCCTGATCAATTTTGTGTGAGTAATAATTCAAAGAATGTACTACTATATAACGTAATACTTTTACATTTATCTGAAGAATCAAGAGAAATTTTGAAAAATCAGGGAATGGATAATCTTATTACAGAGACAACATATCATCGTCCTTTATTTAATTATATGAGTTTTTGGAAATATTTAATATTGCATATCCTAGAAGATATAATTTCTTTGAAAATGATTGAAAAATCAAATGCATCTATTTTAAGAAACGAGATATTAAAATTATTTATTAATAAAAATACAAAACTTATTCAACTTTCAATTCCACGTTATTTTGATTCTCAACTACATCTTATTCCAGAGGCTGAATGTTGCTTATCAGAACTTGAAATCTTTAATTGTGATATTAAAATTGATCAAAATATTTTAAAAGGATTGGCTAAAATATGCAAATCAATTAAAAAAATTACATTATATGTTACTTCCTATGATAGTACTGATAATTATGGGATCTTTAATTTAATTGAAGTACAAAAAAATTTAAATGAATTCTATTTATTCAATAATATATTTCCTAAACACGAACAATTTTATAAAACTCTTGAAGAATCATTAATTAAACATGCAGATACTGTCCAACATTTAAGAATTGGTTGGAATCCTAATACAAGATTTCTTTCGTTCTTTGTGAACTTAGTATATTTAGAAATCCAGAAACTAAAATTCATAAATTGGTATGATCCAATTGCAAATAATTCAAAGAATTTGTCGTTACCTAATTTAAAAATTTTAAAGGTTTATTATATTCCATTGATTACTACAGTAAATTTAATTGAAAACACAACAGGAAATCTTTCTGAAATTAGTATACATTGTGATAATGACACATATTACGTTGATTATAAAATACTTATTCAAACAATTTATCAAAATTGTCCAAATATTAGGTATCTTAAATTATCATTAGATAGAAATTTATCGATTCCAGAATTTGAAAATTTATTAATTAATTGTCAATTTTTAAATGGATTAATTATTAACGTGTGCAAAGATTATGAATTTAGTTGGGATAAGTTATTTCAAGTATTAGCCAAATCTTCACCAATTAGTTTATTTAAATTTAAATTTTATTCTAAGGTATTTAAATTGAAAGATATAGAATCATTTTTTTCTAGTTGGAAAAATAGGAATCCTATATTGTTAAGAATAAATGATTCCAGAATAAAAGTGGATCAGAAATTGGTAAATTTAACCGAAGAATATAAAGCGAAAGGAGTGATTAAAAAGTATTCCTTTGGTTATGGAATGGATCTTATTGAAGATTTTGAATGGATTTAAAAGAAATCAGTAACGTATCGCACCGTAAGATTTTATAAATCAAATTCAAAATTTTTGTGGGGCAACTTAGTAGTCAGCTGTTTATACAGATTTTCCTCTAGATTCTTGTATGATTTTCATAATTCACTACATTTACAGTATTTATAAATAAGAATTGATAGATTTATCGTCAAATAGTATTTAATGTATTATTTGTCTAATAAAATTTCATTGCAAATCTATGTGAAAATAAATGTTTATATTCTATAGATAACTTGATTGCAATTTGAATACATAACCTTGAGGATTGATAGTGAACACATAAATATGGCCATTGATATACGAAATCTTGCATCATTTTTCAGTCTTTTTGATTTTGTTTATCTTGTATTTTATTCTTCATTGTGTTTGAAACTTTTTTATCTTGTGAAAATAAAAATTTTATCAGAAAAAAGAATTGATAATGTTGACATTTTGAGTGAAAATTTGACATACCTTATTTATCCTTAAAAAAGTAAAGCATGTCTCAGTTCCGAATAATAATTCTTTTTTGATATTCTCACGGACGATGATTATTTAAAAAGATACGAAATAATAAGTATAAAAAGTCTATCAATATTGAATAAAAAATCTATAAATAGCAGAATAATAAGTCAGTTTAAAAGGTATTAACGTGATATAACTAAGTTCTGTGGAATATCATGATTTTCACGCCCGCACCGTGAAAATAAACAACTATTACATTTATCACAGAACCGAGAATAAGATTATTTATTCCTTGATTTTTCAAAATGTCTCTCGATTCTTCTGATAAACATAAAAGTATTATATTGAATAATATATTCTTTGAATTATCGGTCGTAGTAGTTTTTGAATTAACGATCTTAATATATTGACCGGAGTTCCAATAAAATTGGTATCTCTGTCGCACCAAAGTTCTATTAACTAAAAACATGAATAGAGGGATTTTAATCATTTTTTAATTCTTAAATATTAGGGTTTCTATCCATATTATGTAAATATTACATTTATGAAAGTTCTTTGGACATAATGAACATGGTGCACGAAAATCTATGATTTTATATCTACGGTATTTTTTGCCATTATAAATAATAACAGATGCGAATAAATTTAATTTGATATAAATATGTAATAAAATAATTTATAACTTACTATCTAAGAAATATATAATTGATCAAAAAAAAATATTTTGAGTGATCAGTGATCACATAATATTTGACTCATAATCTAGGATAACATAAATTCATAATTATTCATAATTACGAAAATAATCATTACGTTCGTTGGGTTTCATATTACACAAATCAATGACGTTCGCAGCCCTCGATCTGAATCTTCAACCTGGTTTAAACCTAAACATTGTCTTTTTTTTTTTAATTGTACCTAGTAAAAGAGTTTTTTTTTTGGATGCTTTTTTAAATAAAGGTTAAAATTTTTATTGTTTAATTTTCAAAATAGCCATAAAATTATTTTGATTTCATATGTATTTCTTTGTAGTTATTTTACGCTAAAGATAAAAATATGTACAATAAAAAAAAAATCTTAAATCAAATTTGCTGGATAATTTAATAGTAGACCTGAAAATTTATTACTGCAACTTACATATTTATTTAGTTTATTTGTTTAAACAATACAAATAAAATTAACTATAGGGACGAAGTCCTACTGCATATGGCGGCAAAATTCTAATTACCTGTCAAAGTTTTTCTAACATTGCAAAACACTCATACCGTATTATTAACATATAAATCAACTTTACTATCATCAGCAGGAAGTATAATTACCATTGCTACTAGTGCCAACTTCCAACTCGAACACGTTAAACGAATTTTCTATATTTGCTACAAATTTATTTTACATATTTGTTCTTTACAATTGTTTACCGTCTCCTAGTGTTTTTAGTTTTTTACCTAATTAATTTACTAATCACCATGTCTCAATCGTCAAATATCCAATAGATCTCCAAATTGGATCAGCTCAGATCAGGTAACCGAACTATAAATCTGGGCCAGGCTTTTGACCTACCTTTGGGTTGGGTAACTTTATAATAAGATTAACATAACATAAAATACAATGCAATTTTTACTTTATTACATTTTTGTAACAATTCATTATATTTATTTTTCATATAATTTTATAAATACTTTATTTAATCATAAAAAATATATTCCAATAAAATATCATTGCAGTAATGTTAAAGAAAATAAATAGTAAATAATAAAGAAATTTATACCCAAGATTCCTTTCCTTTCTTTTATTCAGTTACTTTTATCTATAAGTGAAAAATAAATTATTAAATAATATTATTAATAAAATAAATCATGTAAAAAAGTTAATGTATATAAGTACCTAGGTCTAATTTAGTAAAATCTATTGCTTCTATTGATTCTATAATATAAAAAAAATAATTATATACATCAAATAAAATATTTAAAGAACGCTTTTGTAAAGTAAATTAGGAAATTAATTACCTGAATATTCTCCAAATGAATTATCATCAACCTTGTTATCAGTAGCATTTTTTGGTTCTGGAAGATTTTTAAAATTTAAAAGTCTACTCGTGTAAACTGCTTGGGGATTTGTAGTATATGAAAGAGTAGGTCCATTGTATAATAATGATGATGATGTTAACTTCTCATTAATTTTATCTGCTTCTTTAATTTGCTTTTTGATTTCATGATTTCCAGGATTTTCTCTTGAATAATATAAATCACGTAATAAACTTTTTAATTCTTCTGCTTTAGGTCGTTTTAAAGGATCAGCATCCCAACATTGTTTAATTATGTTTAGAATTAATTGAGGAATTTTATAATTTGATTTTGGCCTAAGTCCTTGACAAATGCTAATAGCTAAGAATTTATCATAAACAATATCATGATAAGGAGGAAGCCCTGTACAGACTTCATATGCAATAATTCCATATCCATATATATCACTTTCTTGAGTATATTCTTTTCCTCTTAAGACTTCTGGTGCTACATAGGGTAATACCCCATATAGTTCTTTACGTTCATTTTGGGATGGTTTTACATTCGCTGGTCGACATAATCCTAAATCAGTAATTAAAGCATAATTCTCTTCTTTTAATATATTACCACAATGAAAATCACGATGAATTAACCCATTTTCATGAATATAAGCGAGGCCCTTTGCAATATCTTGTAAAATTTTTAACTTTTCATCCCATTTTGTTGAATTAAAACTATTATTTAAATGTTGTCTTAAACTACCATTTATTACATATCCCATTACTATCATAAAATCTCTAGATTCTGGATCTTTAGTAATGCCAAAACAGTGTGTTACATAACCTATATATTTTAAAATCATTTTATGGGTTCCAATCTAAAAAAGAATCCATGTTAATAATAATTAATAGACAGTTTAACATTTATAATAGGACAATATCTTGAAATTACTATATACAAATAAGTAACTTACTTCTCTTAAAAAATCGGCCGTAATATCTTGAGAATTATGTAAACATTTTAAAACAACTGGAAAATTCTCATATTCCCTAAACCAATATTTACTTCTTTTCCATTTATTATTCTCAGAATCCCAACTTCTTATAGATCCATCTTTCCAAATTGCTTTATAAATAGTTCCAAATCCCCCTTTTGCCAAGTATTCAACATTTTCAAATCTATCATATTCAATCCATTCTAAAACGTCACGACAAGCTTTAGTTTTAAGTTGTGTTTTTTGAATAAACTTGTCAACTTCATGATTTCCACTAGTCCAATTTTTGAAATTTTGTTGAAAATTCTTAGCATTACATAACTTACACCAATCATAACCAATATTAGGCTGCTTACAATTTTTGCATTAACCATATTGTCTACAACGGTCTCTTAATTCGTCATTTAATATTAACTTATCAATTAACAAACTTTGTTCTTCAGTTAGGTCATAATAGTCAAAATCTTTTATTTGTTCAATTACATCATTACTGAGTATAAATTCTTCCATATTGGATTAATAAATGTGACTTCAATTTTATATCTAATATCAGTAAAATAATTTTATTGCATTATTTAGTTTCCATTATCTATAGAAAATTATTATCACCAAAAATTATTGCTATATTAATAAATGAAATAATGAGAAAGGAAGTTATTTGAAAATATCATAACTTTGCTTACCGTAAGTGGATAATGGGAGGCGGTCAGTATTTTCAATTATGCACATATGAACAAAGTTAGCTTAATAATCAAATAAGAGTAAACTTAAATATTTACCAAATAGTAAAATTTTATTATAATTAGATTTAATATAAAATTTAAAGTACGAAAGATAAACAAAAAAAAATCAAAAAAAGGAAACTGATTGGTAAACAATTATTGCTAAAAAAGGTGTATCTGCTGAGCACGTCCAGGTTATTTCTGCATATGCAAGATCCCTTGACTGAACCTAAAGGAAAAAAAAAATGAAAAAAAGAATAATTTTTAATTTACACTCAACATATTTACTATCAATTAAAAGAATATATATTGGTTATAATGATAAATTTGTACTTATTTATTGAACTAACTAACTGTACCTAAATTGCACTAGTTTATCATATAATAAATAAATAAAAAAATTCAAAAAAATGTACGATCAAGAGTTCACCCTCCAGACGGTAAAAATAAAGAATTTACTTATTATTTGTTATGAATTTATTTTTCCTTATATATACTATTAGTTATTTTTTTCTTTTTATTTTTTATTTTATTGTTTTATCGTAATATCGGATATTACCGATAAAATGCTGAACGGGTAATACCCGTTAAGAAAACGGACCGAAGCTCCGACGAGTCGCATATTTGTGTAAGTAACAAATATAACGTCATGTTGTGCACCATTATATCTAGTTGGTCAATCATTACTACGTAGAAAAGGTACTACAAAATGCTGTACGTTTGTACCACATTAATTATTTTAAGCTCATTTAATGTACTGTATTACTCAACGAACTTTCAACAAATTATCTTTTTTTTTTTTAAAAAAAAAAAACCATCAACAATGTCGTATAACGTATTGAATAAAATTACAGATACTAATGTTTCTAAAGAGGAAGAAAATTTTTTAAAGGATCTTTTAAAATATTTTTATATTAAAATTGTTGAAACAGAAAATAATTTTATTAATTTTGAATATATTTCAAATGATTGGATAGAAAGTTACCTTAACAAGTATGATAAAAATCCTAAAAATATTCTTGAAATGATGGAATATCATAAAGAAAGTAAATTTTGGTTCACAAGTTTAATAGGATTTTTTTATCAAATAGGTATTGGTTGTGATAAGAATAAGGAAAAAGCATTAGAATTTTATTTGATCGATATTGATAATAAAAAAATTGAAAATGATTCTTTAATTAATATAAATTTCAATCAATTACATTTAATTATTGAAAAAAATGAAGATTCAATTAGTAATTTGATGATGATGAGAAATTATAATATAATTATTAAAAAATATTTATTATCATTATTTTATTATAAAGATAATATTTTATTAGATATTAAATATAAACAAAATAAATTAGTTAATCTTTTAAAATTAATCGAATATGATGATTTGGAAGTACAATATAATTCAATAATTTGTTATGAAAATGGTGATAGTAATCTAATAACTAATTATAGAAAAGTTTTTAAATTACTTTTAAGTTTATCAATGGATAATAATAATTTGGATGCACAATATAATTTAGCTATTTGTTATATGGATGGAATAGGAACTCAAAAAGATGAAAAAAAGGCATTTGACTTGTTTTTAAAAGCTGATCAAATTGAAAATGCAAGTATTTGGGATAACACTGATAACATTAAATTTTTTAAAAAGAATTTGGAATCTGCAGTAATAAATAATTCAATAGCACAAAATAATTTAGGAAATTGTTACAATTATGGTACAGGAACAAAAGAAAATAAAGCAAAAGCATTTAAATGGTATTTAAAATCAGCTATTGTAGGATATGCTGATGGACAATGTAATTTAGGATATTGCTATATGAATGGTGTAGGAACAGATAAGAATGAATTAAAAGCATTTGAATGGTATTTAAAATCAGCTGAAAATGGTTGTACAATGGGTCAAAATAATGTGGGAAATTGTTACAGACATGGTAAAGGAATAAATAAAGATAAAACAAAAGCATTTGAATGGTATTTAAAATCAGCTATTGCAGTATGTATTACAGGACAATGTAATCTAGGATATTGCTATATGAATGGTATAGGAACAGATAAGAATGAATTAAAAGCATTTGAATGGTATTTAAAATCAGCCGAAAATGGGCATATGATAGGTCAAAATAATGTGGGATATTGTTATCATTATGGTATAGGGGTAAATAAAGACGAAAGAATAGCATTTGAGTGGTACAAAGAATCAGCTATTGCAGGTTATGCTAATGGACAATGTAACTTAGGATATTGCTATAAAAACGGTATAGGAACAGATAAGAATGAAATAAAAGCATTTGAATGGTATTTAAAATTAGCTGAAAATGGGCATATGATAGGTCAAAATAATGTGGGATATTGTTATCATTATGGTATAGGGGTAAATAAAGATGAAACAATGGCATTTGAGTGGTACAAAAAATCAGCTATTGCAGGAGATGCCAATGGACAATGTAACTTAGGATATTGCTATATGAATGGTATAGGAACAGTTAAGAATGAATTAAAAGCATTTGAATGGTATTTAAAATCAGCTGAAAATGGATGTGCAATGGGTCAAAATAATGTGGGAAATTATTACAGACATGGTAAAGGAATAAATAAAGATAAAACAATGGCATTTGAGTGGTACAAAAAATCAGCTATTGCAGGAAATGCTAATGGACAATGTAACTTAGGATATTGCTATATGAATGGTATAGGAACAGATAAGAATGAATTAAAAGCATTTGAATGGTATTTAAAATCAGCTGAAAATGGATGTACAATGGGTCAAAATAATATGGGATATTGTTATCATTATGGTAAAGGAGTAAATAAAGATGAAACAGAAGCATTTGAATGGTATACAATGTCAGCTATTAAAGGATGTACTAGTGGACAATATAATCTAGGATATTGCTATATGAATGGTATAGGAACATATAAGAATGAAATAAAAGCATTTAAATGGTATTTAAAATCAGCTGAAAATGGGCATATGATAGGTCAAAATAATGTGGGAAATTGTTATCATTATGGTATAGGGGTAAATAAAGATGAAACAAAAGCATTTGAATGGTATTTAAAATCAGCTGAAAATGAGAATGCAGCATCACAATATTATATAGGAAAATGCTATCATGATGGTATTGGTATTGATATTGATATTGCTAAAGCAATTTATTGGTATGAAAAAGCTTTTGTTAATGGAATTCAAGAAGCAAAAGATAACTTAAACAAAATTGTAATGATATATATGAAATGATATATATATGAAAAGATATGAATGAATTATTCTAACTATATCCATTATCTCTATATTAAATATATATAGGTAAAGAAATCTTACCACCAAGAAAATTTATTCAAAGTTTAATAAGAGCGATATATTTATTAAGATTCTTTATTAATTACATAAATATCTGTATCAAAATATGTCATTATAATTCTAAGTTATTAAATTACATTATTTCGGTTTAATACGAACTATTTTTGATTAATTGCAAGTAAAATATATTTTTGTGATTACTTTTATTCTAAGCATCCTGATCATATTTTTTTAGGAAAATGTTGAATGTGGTAACTTTATTAACATAGAACATTTTTTTTATTTTGAGGAATGGATTTCCTTACATTTTGCTGTAAGTATATTTGTGACAGATACTTTAGGCTTAGACGATGTAGCATTACGTTTCATTATTGATATATTAAGAATTTTTTTATTATATAAATAAATGTACCTATAGTAAATTGAATATATTTTATTAATTTATTTAATATTGGTAATTGTGAAGTATTATTTCTCAGTTCAGTGATACTTTTTTTCAAAAAAAAAATTGCCATGCTGCTAAATTATTTCAAGTATTGAATACTATGAACGAATTACATTATACTAAAATAAATTTGTTAATTTACGATTAATAATCATAGACAAATTTCATTTATTTTTAGTATGTAAAACAATTATCTAATCAAAGTGATATTGAAAATTCAGTTAGGGCCAGACATTTATTACGTAATATTTTAGGAATGGGTATTTGAAGTTCTTATAATATACAAGTGTAACGTAAGATTATACTGTATATATTACGTGGGCGACCAAAAAAATTTACTATTGGCTATACGCATTTTTTCAGGCCGGAATTATGATAATTTCGGCCAGTTTCGCGACCGAGATTACCTATTAAAGAAAAGATCAACATGATTATTTTGTTATTTCGTTTGCATTAATTTAAATCATAAGTATATAGTAAGTATTATTATTCAAAGTATTAATGCTTTGTAAACAACCTAATAATTATAAATACTTTATTGAATTATGTTCATGTTATTATTATAAATAAAATTCTTTTATAAAATGATCAATATTAATACATAAATCGGAATAATATAAAACTTGAATACCATATAATTCAAATTCCTTCACTTTATCTTTTAGAGAAAACAAATCTTCACCTTTTCCTAAAATAGCTAAATATTCGACTCTTTTCTTTTTAATAATATATTCCTCTATATAAGGGAGAAAATCTTCAATTTTTTCTTTCTTTTTACTTCTAATTACCAATTTCTTAATAAAAGTATTTTGAGAATTTTTTAAGAATACTTTTAAATCACTTCCATTGATGATCGCAAGACTTAAATTCAAACTTTCCAATTTAAAAGGTAGAATTTGTCCTAAATTTTGTAATATAGTTGAACTAAAATGGTTATTATAATCAAAACCATAACAATCAATTAAAAGATAATTAAGATTCTTTTTAATATTTTCAATTAAATTGAACATTAAATTAATAATCTGATCATTTAACCCAACATATAAGTATAAAAATTTAATGTTGCTACAATATTTTATAGCTAATTCAAATAATTGAAGCAATTGTTGTGATCTATATATATTAATTCCAAAATTTTCTAAAGAATCACCAGATTTTTTCATTAACAATTCTAAAGATTCAATTTGTAATATTTCATCCAAAAATAAGGATTTTAATTTAAATGGCTTAGTAATACTAACAATTTGTTGAACAAACTTAGAATCTAGAGAATAACAATAGATAAAATGAATTGATTCTAAAACATTCAATTGATTGAATACTTCATTTAAAACAATTATATTATAAAAATCAATATAATAAAATGTAATTGTATTTAAAGTATTTGAACAATTAGAATTTTTTAAAGAAAATAATGAATGGTATAAGGGGAAATAATTAAAACCAATTAAAATCTTTTTAAGATTTTCTTGAGAATTAATGAATTGTGATAAACCTTTTTCAATTGTTGGATAATCATCAGGAAATAGAAAATAAAGTGATGAAATTGAATTACAATTAGAATAAATAAATGTTAAAAATTTTGTCATATTATCAGCTATTTCTTCAAATTCAAGTGTTAAATTTTTGATATTACAAATGAAATTTGGATTTTGTAAAATTAATTCAAGAGTATCAGAATATTCATGTTCTTGATAATATTCTATTGAAATTTCCAAACTGCACAAATTTACTTCATTTTCAATAAATAATAATATTAGTGACCTATTAATTAATTTTATAAAGTCTGACATTTGAAAGGTATCTTTAATAAAGTTGGAAGGTTGATTTTTAATCCACTTTTTAACAGAAGAACTAATGTTTTGTATATTTAAACGTTTAATAAAACTAGGATAATTAAATAATGTATGTGAATGAAATAAATTATTAAGAGTTACATATTCATCTAATATTGCTTTATTATTATCATTCAAATTATATAAATATATTTCAATAAATTTATAATTTTTAGAACATTTAATTGAAAATGGATCTTCCCATAATAATGGAATTGTTAAACGACACCATAATCTATTAACCAATATACATGAATATAATGTTTTATAATCATGATGAGAATATTGTATAATTTCATTTAATAACTCAGGCAAATCTCCTAAAAATATCTTTGAACATGCCATATCTGATATGTTAAGCGAAAAAGAAAAGAAGAGGTTTCCGAAATTCGTCAAATATGGTAAATATTATATATATGGAGCGGCAACTCCGTTTTGTCACACAAATATTTACACAAGTAAAACAATGGGTTTCAATGTTCTGATTGGTTCCCCTTATTTGCGAAGTACAACATCACATGATAAGCTGATTGACAAAATTGTCAGCAGGTTGTGATCATCAATTAATTTTACGTCTCGTCGTCTCGATATTATTAAAAAAATTTGTGTTAATGAATTTATTTAGTTCAGTAGTGATTACTAATATAAAAATTATTTTTCTTAGTAAGAATTTTTTTATAACAAATGAACAACAATTTTTTTTAATAAAAATAGATTAGTTTTTAAGTTTTTATTGAATTTTTAATTTTTCCAATCTTTTTTTAAAACCAGATTATTTTTAATTTTTTTATTGAATTTTTTATTCTTCCGGTCTTTTTGAAATCAAATTTTTTTTTTATTAATTTTTTCTCTTTTCCGGTTTATAAAAAATTTTTTTTTGTTTTTAAAAATTTAAATTATATTTATCTGATTTTTGAAAACCTGAATTCTGATTTTTTTTTTTTTTTTTGAGGGTCGGATCGTAATTATTTTTTTTTTTTTGTTATTTTTAAATTTTTTCTAACCTTTTTTTCTTTTATCTTTCACNATTTTTTTTTTTTTTTTTGCTAAGATTTTTTTGGTTGTTTTGTTCTTTTGCTGATGATGTAATCAAATGAATATCTTTTTTTTTATTTGAATAAATATATTTAATGATTTTTAGTTAAAATAATATGATTTAAATAATTAGGGTTTATAATTAGCAAAGTATTCATTTAAAAAAAAAGTTTTTTTGATATGATATCTGTAATTTGAATAGTATCATCTTAGTTTTAGCGGACCTTTTAATATAATTAATTAATTATTGTTATATAGTGTCAATACGTTACTACTACTTTGTATACCAATTCCGTAATGTTAATAGTATTTATTGTTGTTAACAGTTCTCAAATGAATCATCCATTATTTTTTTTTTATTTTTTTTTTAACGAAGTCAATTATTTCTTTGAAGTTAACTAATCTTTAATTTTCATCCAAAAGTTACATGTTATGATTTAAAAACAAAAAATAATAATAATAAATTTGTAAATATTAATATAATATTTTATTTCTTTATTTAATAATGAAATTAACTAATTACAAATAAATAAAAATTCAATTAAGTTTATAGATTATAAAAACTTTTTTCTTAAAACTATTATTAATAAAAATTTTTTTGGAGCTTCACCTATATAAGAATTTTCTGGGATTCTACCTGGTCTTGATGACAATAACTTGGTGATAATTAAATAATTGAAAATGATCTATAAATAGAATAAAAAGAAAGGTTATCCTATGATCACTCAGATAAATGAGTTATTGAATTACTAGGCTGATATCAGAACGCTCATCCACGCTTACTCAGGCATATATACCAGATTTCATCTAGACTCACAAAGAATCCCGACAAATAAATATATTTGGAAAACCTTAGACATATATATACGTGAGCAGACCCATGTACTAAATCGTAAAAAAGCCTTCATTGCAATTAAAGCTCAATTGAACACAATAACTCACCTAATATCAGGGGATAATAAATAAATTTCTGTTGATATTGTTGAATAATGTGGAGGATTCCAATCACCTACAAGAATAATTAGTAAATTACATTATGAAAATGCTAAATCAGCTAGGAAGATGTTTTTATAAAGGTCCGAAACTACTCCTATTTATAAGAAATTTACTTTATATTTAATACTTGATATTTTATTACTTATGATGGGTCGTAATTATTAATATTTATATAAGATGAATAATTACAAATACTAATTTCCATCACATTCTTCTTAATTCCATCATATTATATATATATATATATATTTCCTTTTAATAAAATAACTTATAATGAGTCATCTAATTTTCCATTATATTCTTTTTTTCAATAAAATAACTTATAATGAGTCATAATTATTAATATTTACAATAAGATGAATAATTACAAGCCCTGATTGCTAATTTTCCAATATTCTTTACTTAATTATTAATTATTAAAATAATTACCGTACTAATAATGTCTAACTTTACAGAATATTATTTATCATTTTACATTTGGAGTTATAGTGACCAATTTTTAATATGAAATGATTTGTAATGAGTTAAAATATAATATAATTATTATCACATTTTCTAATTAATACTTGATTATATTTACTGTGTAGATTTATTCTTCATGCCTGTAAATATATAATCCTAAAATTTTAGCACAGTTGGATTTATATTTATGGAAATCACCTACTTTAAAAATACAGCTAACATCTGACGTGACGCAAATAGGCACAACATATATATATGAATATTATCTTATTTTTACAATTAAAATGGCATAAGATATCGTGGCATCCTCGTATTTGTAGCATTAGTTTGTGAGAAGATAACTTTTTTGTTTAGTAAAATAAATTTTGATTCAATTACTGTATGAGTACGAGACTTTAAACATGGAGAATATAAGACCAATTTTATTATTTTGTCATAAAGAATTTATAATTGAAATCAAAATCTTTAAAAAAAGTTGTAAATGGCTAAGCATATTTATATACTAGTTATAAAATGTTTAAATTTAAGTAAAATTTATGTGTTCAACCGTTTTCTAAATTTACGTAAAAATTATTATAATCTTACTCTTTAATACTAGAATTTATCATCTGAGCGTAGCGTCCATACTGTATTTTTCGTATCAGGAAATAAAAAAAAAAATAATTGTCTTAGTTGCACAATAATTACAATAATTTAATATACAGCAAATCACGTTGCCACCTTGATCATACTTCATTTAATAATATTGAATTTTTCCATTTTTTCATTTTTAGAAATTCGAAAATGTTGTTTTCCACTTTTTCATAAAATTAATTATTAAACATTTTCAACGATTGACCTTTAATCCCATTTCTTATTTTAATAATTCCCCCAAATCTCCAAAAATTGATCTTCGATTCTATTTCTTATTTTAACATAGTTCTCACATCTAAATCTAAAATAAATACGAACACAAGAATAGTTTTACATCGTTACGGATGTAACCTTTGACATGATTTGATAGTTTGACGACTTTAACGTCATTCCGGACCGCAGTAGATAAAAATACTTTGATATTTGTGATTTTGGTCATGTTCAAAGTCAAATGACGGTTATGTAAAGCGTTAATTCGTTGGAAGAGAGGGTTGATATATATACCGGTTTAGATTATTTAATTATTATAAAATTAAATTTAAGCTATTAATTTATCATGTGATATGCCGTCGCACTAAGTGTGACACATGATTTTAAATGATTTCCATATATGTAACCGGAATATTTTTATTTTTTTTTAGTGTTCAAATGGATGTTGTGGAGCATTTTTATTGGTTGATGGATTTTCCACTCCAGTGACCCGTCCATATGAGAACCAATTTTTTTTTGTGTCGCCTTATTATTCCTATTTGGAACTAGAATTCTCTGTCATGGCTAAGACAACTTGATGTTTATATAAAACAAGACTGAGGTTTTTATACTATAGTTTAAGATATGCTTTTCCAAAAATGGCACTTCTGTTTATTTTAAATTATTTATTTGAAATTTCCTTATATATATGTACAACCACGCACAAAAAAATACTTAAAATTTTGATATTTTGATTCACAATGAAAATGTCGAAAGTTGATCATTGCCCAATTAACTTTTCATAATAAGAAAATTTTTTTTCATGCAAGAGACGTACTGTATACAACCATACATATTTAATTTGTGTTTCAAATAAAAATCTCAATTAACTTTTCATAATAAAAAAAAAGATTTTTTTTTATGCAGGAGGCGAAATTTTACGTACAAATGAATATTTGGACATGTGTTTCAATAAAAAAAAAATTCTTTTTTTATGTACGTACAACCATGCATATTTACACGTGTTTCAAATGAAAAAAAAAACTATATAATCGCAAATGGACGATATAAAAAAAATAATTTCTTTAGTAATAAATTTATATATTTATAAGCGATTACCAAATGAGTGAAATAATCGAAATTAACAATGATGCTGACAAAATCGAAGTTGATGATGTTGATAAAATATTTACCTTCGATGATGAACGACATAATGGTAAACCTATTACTATAATAGAAATATCACCAAATGAAAAATACCTTATTACTTATAGTGAAGAAGATCGTTCAATTGTCGGTTGGAATGTTGAAGATAAGGTTCATCTTAAATTTCATCAAGCTGTTAAAACTATAGAAGATAATGAAGAGTATAAATATGAGATCAAAAGTTTATGCGTTTCTGATGATAATAAACTTGTTTATATTACTATTCACCGTTATCGTTATAGTGATTATAAATATACTACTATTACTGGTAAGTAATAATTATTTGATTATGTAATGATTAAATTATGGTAATTGATATTTATTTTAATATTTTTTAGTAATCGATATGAATAATAAAGATAAAAATATTGCATTAGATTTAAATAATGAAAGTTATCAACAAAAGCATTATTATTGTACCTTTAATTTAAAAAATGAATTTATTTTATATAGTGAAGTTAATGCTGTTTCTGGAAAACATAAAATTATTTGTATTTACTCCACACAAACTAAAAATAACAAATGGGAATGTAAGAGATTTTACGAGATACCTGAAGATTATGAATTAATTAGTATATCAAAATATGATAAAGTTTACCTATTTTCAAATGATCACATTTATGAATGGAATATTAATACTGAAAGAGGTGTAAAAATATTTGGTAATAATAAGGATAAGAATAAGGTAATTAATATTATAAAATTTATTTTCCAATCAATATTAAATTATAATTAAATATATAAATATTAATTATTTTTTAGTTTGAAACAAAAAATATCGGAATATTCAGTAATGATGAAAAGTTTATTTCTCTAAAAATTAATGATAAAATCATCGTTTATTTAATTGAATTGAAAATTCCTATTGCTTCTTTGGATATAAATGATGGTAACCATTTTTAAAAAATTTTATTTATACTTTAATTATTACTCATATTAAATCATTATTTTTTATTTAGATATTCAACTATATAATTTTATGAATCATACTGGTTTATTTCTTTTACCTTCTTTATTCTATTATAAACCAGACAAAGAAGTCAAATATTGTTGGAACAATAAATACGAAATTATGTTTAATCCAACTGATGAACCACCAACTGATGATCAAACAAAGTTTGTGTTTGGAATTCGAAATGGACGTGTTTGGAAATCTAAATTTGACAAAAAGATGAAGTCGAACTTTTCATCCGAAAATTCTGATGAATTAAATAACAAAATTGTTGAATGTGATGAATATTTAAATGTTCTTTTATCTAATCTATTTATAGATACTGTGTCTAAATTATTTCAAAAAGTCACGACAAATGTTGATTATAGTAACGAAAAACGAATTGAATTAGCTGGAAATTTAATTGAATGGGATATACGTGTTGGTGACGGTAAAATTAAACTGGAAGTTTTCAAAAAAGGAAAACTAATTAGCACGAAAATTGAAAATTATCATTATCCTTATAAATATTATGATGATATCAATAATGTTCATAGTTTAGTTGCAAGCTCATTATTTAATAACGATGATATTGTTATATTGACAACATTTGGTATTCTTATTTATACTTTTAGTGAAAATAACAAATCTATTTCTTTAAACTATTTTTATTTTATGAAATTAGAGAATTATAGATATAAAAATGAAGAATCCAAATATGGCATTAAAAAATATAAAGTATATATGAAAATACTTCAACATTACTACAAAGGAATATTTTCAAAATCTACTTTACCATCACCAAATTATGATAGTTTTAGATTAGATGGATGGGTTTCAGTTATAATAAATAATAAATCAAGTCTTTTGAAATATGGAGTTGAATTATTAAAATTTGTAATTAAAGAACATAAGTTAGAATTAATTGATGAGATTTATAAAAAATGCATGTCTTATTTTAAAGAAGATTTAATGAACAATAAGTCATTTTTAAGCATTATCACTTCTGCAATGCCATTACTAGATGAATATTATCCAGAATATATTCTAAAATATTCATCAGAAACGAATATGATTATAGATTCTTCTTTTTATAGTAAAGAGCATCAAAATAAAAATTTCCATCTTTATTCTTTTTTTCAATCTCCTCAAATAACTAATTTATCAAAATCTCTTTTATGGACAAAATACCAATTTTATTTTTTTAATTCAGAAACACTATTATTGTTCATTAATATATTGCAAGGTTTAATAATACTTTTAACTTTACCCCTTTATTTGGCTACATTTTATATTTTATCAAAATACAATTTTATTAATAATATTTATGATGAAGATTTATTTTCTTCTATTTATTTCTATAAAATTGTTAAATTTTTTAAAAAATATATAACAACGACACCAACAATTACTTTTATGATTCCTTATATTAATTTTGTTAATTATTCAAAAGATTATAATTGGTTTTTAGAATTAATTATACCTCAACCTAGTCCATTTACTGAAACAATGAATAGAAATATTTATAAAACATGGAATGGAGAAGCATTAATTAATTTTAAATGGAATGCTTATGGAAAATATTATTATGCAATGATTTGGATTTTATTTATGGCTTTGCTTGGGTGCTTTACTACTGCTGCAACAATTCCTCAGCAATATATTAATGAAGAAGTTAGACAACAACTTTTTATTGCTTCGATTATACTTGGATTTATTCATCTGATTTTAGAAATTCGTCAATGTTTTTATAAAATTATTGAGTGGTTAAAGAATTTTTGGAATATTTTTGGTAAATATAAATGTTTATTTACTATGTTTTAAGAAAATGAAATTAATTATATAATGTTTTAATATTGTAGATATAATTGCTTATGTGCTTTCAATCTACACTTCTATTTATTGGCTTCAAACAAATGATAAGAATAATAATAAGTATCTAATTCAATTGCTTTCTTTTTCATGTTTATTTTTGGATATAAAATTTTTGTTATTTTTTAGAGCATTTGAATATTTTGGTGTATATTTTGCAATAATTATTAGTGTTGGAAAAAAGATTTTTTCTTTTTTATTAGTCTTATTCATTATTATAATAAGTTTTGCACATGCATTTTATATTTTATTATCACCAAAATCTGAATTTTCACTTGAACAATATAATACAAATAATAATGATGATCCAAATAATCCTTGGAATTTAGCTCCTAGTTATAGTCAAATTGATAATAATGGAAATATAAATTCTAATCCACTTATGATTCAAATTCCTGATGGAAATACAAACATGTTTATGAATATTAAAACTTCCCTTTTTGCTATATATTTATTTTTAATAGGTATATTTAAATTTTTCATAATTATGTAAATATACATAATATTTTCTAATATTTTTAAGCAATTCTTCTTATCAATAGGTGATTCAAGTGCATTATCCAATTGGACATATACTGAAAATTCATCAATTGCAGTATTGATTGTTTTATTTTCCCTTTTAGTTGTTGTATATCTTATGAACTTGTTAATTGGATTACTCAATATGGCAATTGAAGAAGATAATAATAGAGTCTCATATTTAATGCAGAAGGCAGAGGTAGATAATAATATTATTAATCATTTCATTTCTGTAAATATACTAATATATCTCAATTTTTAGATTTTGGCTGAGATTGAGTTATTTTACCTATTACCACATCAGAGACGTTGGAAAACATGGTTTCCTGAAGTAATGTATGTAGTTTTACTTTTAAAAAAAATTTAATGTTATAATTTTATTAATAATTATTCAAATTTATTTTTCAAGACATTATTATGCTGATGCTGATAAGACTCGAATAGAAATTGAAAGGTTGATTGAAAAGGGTGAATGGGAAACCAAGGAACAGGAACTCACAGAGATGCGGAAAAATTTATTAGACAAACTTAAAATTAAATATGATCCTATTGACAATAAGGCAATATTGGAGAAATTAAAAATTGACAATGAGGTAATATTGGAGAAATTAAAATCTCATGATGTAAAATTAGATAAATTAGAGGAATTAGAGAAATTAAAAGAATTATTGAAAGAAATATGTGCAAAATAATTTTAATATTATGTTAGTTTTATAATTCAGTTTTTATATTGCTTATCCAAATATTAAATATATATATTCTTTTTTTTTCTTACTCAGAATTATTTAAACACTAATGTTAAAGTAAATGAATATTTTACAAAATTCTTAGTTTGTAATTTAAATAAATCTTGATTTTTCTTAACTTATCCAATTATTAAATATAAATTATCAAAATGATACATATAGTATAAAATCATTTCCAATTTGCGAAATCAAATTAAATAATGTAAAATTTTTTATATTCATCTTCAAAGGCAGTACTGATGACATTAAAGTAATTAAAACTTCATTTAATTTCTAAATTAAATAATAAAAGCTTTTCTTGATATTAAATGACAGATTGTTAACATCAAAATCTCATAGGTTAATTTCATAGGTTGATTTTGAATATACATATTTTTTTGAGTAGCCACCATAAATATTTAATATATCATGTAACAAGAGATTGGAAAAAATATATTTATTATTACATTTATTAATAATTAAATCAAAAATTTTTTTATGATAATAAATAAATATTTCATTAGTAAAAAATATTTTTTTTATTTTTTTTTTCGAGGAAAATTATAAATACCTTTTACCTTTTTAGTATTTTATGGAAAGAAGAATTTTTTAAACATTTATAAATTAATTTATTTTAAACATTTCATTGTAACTTATAATAAACTGAAATCTGCCATTTCTCTATAGTTAATTTACTTGTTTTTACAATAACTTTTACTTAAAAAATCTTTAAAAAGTATGTTAAGCTCTCCCATGAAAATCACCTCTTGTTAAACTAAATAATATTTAATTTTAAAGAATAAACTCTTCATATTTTTTCTTTCTTTTTAGGTTTCAGCAGCTTTTTTTTTTTTTAGATTCCACTGATTTTCTTTGAAAATTGAGGTTGATATCTTGGTAAATTTTGTTTCTTTTTTATTTCTTTCAATACCAAATTTCATTTTTCTTTTCTTTTAAGTTCTGGGTGGTAGTTAACAAAATTCTTGTGAATTTGTGACTCTTTAATAAAAGTATAACTTTTATCAGATCACAGGTACCGAGAACTGATCCCGTGATGCGTGAGATGCGTGATGCACTAATGGGATATGTTAAAATACTGATCTCCTTACTGAATTATTAGATGAACTCAATAAATATTAGGCCAGTTCAATTCTGATCATTCGGGTTTTTTGATCGAAAATCCATTACATGTGATCAAAATCAAGATTGAGTACTTTGATCGGCTTATTGAACGGTTAACCTTGGTCACCTTATCATCAGCCAATAATTATCAACTCAAAACCCGATCAAATTCCGAACGATCAGAATTGAACAGGCCTACTATAATGATATTAAAATAACAAATTGATTGTAAAAAATTTTTATATCAATATACAAAGAGAACCTTTTTTTTTTAAAAAAAAAATATTGCTCTGACAACAAACAATTATTATTTTAAATTGATGAACGGCGTAGTTATATAAGCCTTATAGAAATTCTATCGATCACATGCAGATCAGCAATTTTTACGTGACAAGTCGTGACATGAATTGTATGACTATTATGGGAAAATATATAAATAGGTAACAAGAGATCAACTTGTATCCGAATTACGTAATGCTCTGAAAATTAATTAAAATTTATCCGGCTGACAAAAAATACTTTTTCTTTTACTCTCCACGCACTATGTCTTGTTCAAAAATATTCTTGGGAGAATTACCAGAATTAACATATGATATTTTAAAGTATTTAAAAAATGATTGTTCAACTTTATATTCATGTATTTTAGTTAACAGATTATGGTGTCGTTTAACAATTCCATTATTATGGGAAAACCCATTTTCAAATCCTACAAAAAATTGTAACTTTATTGAAATTTATTTACATAATTTAAATGAAGATTCAAAAACAAAATTAAATGAATATAGAATTGAGGATAATTTATTTACTTCAAATACACTCTTCAATTATCCTAGTTTTATAAAATATTTAAATACACGGAAGTTTATTCTTTCTACTTATAGATGGACTGAAAATTCTATTAAAACATTGAAACCTGAAAAAAGTTATTCAAATGATGTTAATAATTTTGAAAGATTAATTCAAATGTTATTATTTAAACTATTTATTGATAATGAGGCAAATTTACATACTTTTAAAATTGAGATCTTTCATAATTGGAATTCTCATTGTGATAATATTTTAGAATTAATTTTACAAAATCCAAATTTTATTCACAATGTCAAAAATTTAAACATTTATACTAGTAGTTATCCTAATAATGGTAAGAAATATATGATAGCTAAAAATCATATATTAAAATTAATTAATTTACATCAAAATCTTAAAAAAATTTTTTTAGGAACTAATAACTTTCTTTTATATCAATCATTATTATTAACACAAGATTATAATTGTTCAAACACTTTAAATACTATCATATTATGTCAGGTTAATTTTAAAGATATAATCAATTTAGATAAAATATTTGATCAATTAAAAGTTTTAGAATCTGTTCATCTCATTTATTGTCATTCCTTAAATACTAGTTTTATTCAACAAATTATTAATTTAAATAGACCATTTAAATTAAAATCTTTAATTATAGATGAGACATCAAAAATTAATGAATCATCATTTCAATCATTATTACAAAAATGCGGTGGATATTTAGAGAATTTTGGATGTGAATTTGGAGTTCAAAATAAATTATTACTTGAATCAATTATAAAATATTGTAAAAATATTAAATCACTTTATTTAAATAGATTTAGAAATGAGCTTATTTATTTATTATTGGATCTGATTGAAAATTTGAAGCAAAGTCTTAATTATCTTACAATCAAGATAACAGGTTGGGAAAATTATATTGAATATAGTTCAATTGTATTACAAAATTTAGGACAAATCCTTCCTTTTAAATTATAATATTTAAATTTGAGTCTTCACATTAAAATGAGTGATTTTGAAGTATTCTTGAAAAATTCTCAAGATACTTTTATTAAGAAATTGTTGATCAATAATTTAAAAGGACAAGATATTTTATCTTATATAAAAGAATATATTATGAAAAAGAAAAGAGTGAAGTATTTGGCTATTATGGATTCCTTTAAAGGTGCATCAGATAACTATGGCTATAAGGAATTGGTTTCATTAAAAGATGAAGTGGAGGAATTTAAGTTGTATGATATTAAAGTGCAATGTTATAATGGTTCAATCACTGGTCGAAGTGGGATGATTTGCATGAAGTTTATTGCCCATAAATAGCTTATAAATTTGTTGATCTCAATTACGCTTAAGAAATCTCCATCAAATTTAATTTATAGATTGAAACGGGTAAAATTTATTGTAAATTTTATGATTTTAAAACTAATTCGCTAATTATAATGTATAAATTCTAAATAAATTTTAATTAAATTTAATATTAATGTTTATTACGCATATAATAGCTTGAAATTTACTTGAAATATGATATTAAATTCGCAACAAGCCATTTACTACTATTATTGAAATTTTGCTATACTAAAACAAAATTTATATTATTACAAAATTACAAAAAAAAGCAAAGAGATAATCATGAAACTTCGTAGCCACGCTCAATTAAGGCAATGTATTACTAGACCTATGCTAAAGATGACTTTAGCAAGGCTTTCTTTGAGAAATTAAAAGAAATTTCATACATTTTGCCAGCTGGTGAGAAAGCTTATGACCTCTAATAATCTCAAGTCAATTTATATTAATTAATGTTATATTATTATATGCTATTTGTGTCATTTTGTGATGGTTAAGTTGAACATATTCCAAGCATCAAAAACCATAATTGCAGTTTATTATTTTGAAGAGTATAAAAGAAAATGTAAAGAAAATTAAAAAAATAGTTTATTCGTGATTAAAAATAGTTAAAATAGTTAAAATAGTTTAATGTGTTATATCAATCCTCAAAATGGAATCGGGTCCTATTTTACTATCTTACATAAAATTAATGTCATGTTTATCACATGATATAATAACTGATAGGCGCAGTTCAATGACGGATAATCTTTCTTTAAAAAAAAAGTTTGTTCTTTCCCATAATTCCTTTCCCTCTTTCTCATTCATTAATTTTTTTTTTACAACAACGACATCAATGAGCTATTGGTATGAACAACTGACAAAAATTAAAGGAAATGAACAAATATCTCCAATGGCTCAAAGTTGAAGTTCAACTGAGAACGAACTGAACATTTTCGCAAATAGTGCTCTCTTAGGTGATTTCTTTTTATTTTTATCAATTTTTTGAATTTTTTTTTTGTTTTATCGTTATTTACTATAATTTTCTTTTTTTTTCTTATTATTTTTCATAAAATTTTTTCCAAGCCTATGATAGCTGGACTTGAAGAAAACAAAAGTAAAAATTATACTTTACAATAAAACAAGAATTGGAAATTAAAATAAATGGCAAGTTAGTCTTGTTTTAATAGTTCATTATTAGTATTAGAAATGTATTAAAATTTTCTTTTTAATTTTTTAAAGGTAACAGAGAATCTTCAGACGATTGGTGATTATTGGGGAAAGAGTTTCTATAAAAAATGTATTAAATGTTCCTTCTTTTTTTTGGTAGGTAATATTCTCTGGAGGGACTTTTTGGACAGTAAGTAAAATTTTTGGGAAAAGAATTTCGCCATTAATTATGAGGAACATACTAAATTTCCTTTTTTTTATTTTTTTGTAGGTAATGACTTGTCTGTGTAAGACTTTTGGATAGTGAGTTATTTCTTTTGAGAGGAATTCGTCATTTATCTGTAAGAAATGTCTGACGCTTCTTTTTTTAATCTTTATAGGTTCTGTATTTCCAGACTTTGGTAAGCTATTTGAATTCAGAATTGACTTTAAGAAACCTATTTTAAAAGAATTTTATTAATGAAATTTTTATTTTTTTTATTTTTTAGCCTTATGGTACTTTGGATCTTTGAAGCAGAATTTTGTTAATGGAAGATGAAGTTTTTCTCTTATTTTAACGTGGATTTTTTTGACACATGGACTTCTGGTAATTCTTTTTTTAAAGTTCTTTTTTTTTTAATTTAAAAAAAGAGAAAGTGATTTTTAAATTATTATTTTTAATGAATTCAGTTTTTTAGACGGCTTCATTTTGATCTTTAGACACATAGGTTATGGTGTACTTTTTTTTTATATTCTTAAACTTTTTTTTTAATATAATATTAACCTAACAACTTCATTTTCGTTCTTATTTGGATAAGTCTTCAGCTCTTTAGAGGCTGATTTCGGTAAGATATTTTTTTTCTTTGACATTAAAAAATGATTACTAACTTTTTGTTTCTTTTATAGATGACTTGCTCTTTGGTATTCAGAGATATTTTTGAACATGGATTTCATAAGTTCAATTTTTTTCTTTAATTTTTCTTTTAACAAAGAATGATCACTAATATTCATCATCTTTCTTTTTTCAGATGGTTGGTTTTTTGACTCTTTAAACGCGTGAAAACTTGGTGAGATTTGTTTCTAATTATGCATTTCAATGAAATGTTTTTACTAACATTTCAATTTTCTCTTTTTTAGATGGTCTAGGTCTCTGAATCAAATGTTTAGGGATCTTGTAGAAAAGAAGTTTGAGGTTAGAAATCATAGGCTTTCTCACCAGCTGGCAAAATGTATGAAATTTCTTTTAATTCACAAAGAAAGCCTTGCTAAAGTCATCTTTAGTGTAGGTCTAGTAATACATTGCCTTAATTGAGCGTGGCTACGAAGTTTATGATTCTTAAATAGAAGTGAAGTTTCATTATAATATACATAAAATTTATATAAAATTTATATTGTATTTATTGTTAATATTTTAGCTATATATTTGCAAATATGAGCGAAATTTCATTAACATTTCTTATATCATAAAAAATTTCTGTTTAATGTATTATAAGTTTAAATGATATATAAAGAAGGTTTTATCACAATTTAAAATACATTTATATAATAGAAACTTGTAAATTTCAAATGACATATACACTTCATGGAAATTGGACAAGTTTACAACAAATTTCCTTAATATACACTTTAATTGGAATTAATTGAAATTACTGGTAAATCAATTTGAAATGTGACGTGTATATAAAATTTCTCTAGTGTAAATGTATTGCACATCCCCCTACTTCGACCAGTGAATGATAAGTTTCTATGAATTTACTCGTGATTAATTATTTAGTGGAGTGGTAATTTTAAAATATCAGATAGGAATATTAAATATAATTGCTTATAAATAAATAAAGTATTCATAAATTTTTATACATTTAAAATTGTGTGATAAAGTAATTTTGACATGTAATTAATTTGCAAATTATATCCTATGTTACATAAAAATTGGAACATAGCAAAAGAAAATTTACTAATGAAACTTATGAATTATTATAATCTATGAAAGTTTCTGAGGAGGTTGATATATTAACAACATTTCTTTAAATTTGTAATAAGTCAAAAAGGTAAAAATAGTCCTATAAAATGAGACACTGCTCTTTACAAATAAATGTAATATATAATGAAAATTCTCTCTTATAATAATTTTTAAGGTCTTATACTAATTAGTGAAATTTGTTGCCTTCTGAAAACTGTATGTTTGCACAATATTAATTGATTTTAATATTCGTCAATAATTATGCTAATATTACAATTTACAATTTATTGAGTAAATAATTTAGCATTTTATGAAACATTTTCTTTTAAAAAATATATTTTTCAGATTCCGTATAAAGCTTTGAAAAAAACGGGTAAAATATGATTCTAACCTTTCCTAAAAAGAAGTTTAATCACATGATCCTCTATCAAGGTTATATAAGCGAAATTGTTGAAACAATAAATTCAAAGTATTTTTCGAATTTGAACTAATTCATTATTTAATTTACTAACAAATAAAGAAATAAATTATTCCCCTAAAAAAATTTTTTAATTTAAATGAACAAATAGTAAAAAGTAAGTGGATCACTTTTATATGTTAGTTTTTTTTTGCCAAATAAAATAAATGTGACTTAATAATTTAAATAAATTATAAAATTTCGATTTTATTACAATTTATTTACAATATAAACAAAAAAAGAATAAATCTTATTAAAGAAAAGTGTAATTTCATATATGTGAATCTAATTTTGTCGTAAATGGTGGGATTATAATATTTATAAAATTCCAGATAAAAGATCAATTTTTTTTTGTTTCAAAGAATTAAATTTTATCAAAAAAACGAATTTGCATTTTTTGATCATGATTGTGTTGATTCAATGTAGAATGGATTTATTTCATTTTCTGTTATTTCGTTACTTGCTAATTAGATATTACATAAAATATATTTATAAAATTTTGAGCGGTATTAATTCTTTATGTAAGTAATTGATTATTTAAAATATGACTAATTGGATAACGCACTTTTATCCCCTGATCGGCACCATTTACACGTTTATGCAAATGTAGTTATACCTACTGGGTAGCCAATTTTATATGTATTTATTTATCCGTTTCTAGGAAATTTTGCGGTAAAAATTAATTATTGATTATACTATAATGGACTGATTCGAAAATTTGAGTAATTCGGAAAGATTTGCATTTTCTAAATGAGAAAAACTTTCTTTTAATTTATTTGTAATCTCAATACTATTTTTCAAGTGTAATAGTAATGGTTCCGAAACTTTTTAAAATTTATTTTTTTATTTTAAAATTTTTAAAATGAAACAAAACCAAGCGTAAATTCAACAATAAAATATACTATATTATACTCACTATATACTATAAAACACTTACTATTGTGTAAATGGCAGGGGATAAATCAATTATCTCCTGGCTAATTGGAATAGTAAAATTTTACTTAGAATCGGAACATGATCGGCCTTCGGCCGATCATTTATCCAATCCTAGTAAAATTTTACTTATTCCTAATTAGCCAGGAGATAAGTAATACGAATCACCTAATATTTAAATAAAAAAGCTAAATATAATGTATTGATTCTTAACCTACCCGTTAGGAATTATACGTTGCAAGAAGCGCAGTTCTAAAATTTATAAACATGTTTGTATTTTATTAGTGTTATAAAAATTTATACATCATAAATGATTCTAACGTTAACGCCAACGCATTACATCAATAAAGGTAACTATCTAAAAAAATAAAAAATAAAATAAGATCATATCTTATATAACGTTAAAATTTGCTAAATTATCGTATATTCACCCGTCAATTTCACTATCGCTATCTTCTCGAGCACCTTGAATTTGCGCGACACGTTTCTTATTTTCATTATAATATCTCCATCTTTTTCTTTCCCTAATACTTTTCTTTTGATTACCATTAATTTCATTCAAAACTTTTATTCTGGTCGTTCGTAAGCGGATCCGTAAGATTCTCCCTAGTATCATAATATTGTTCGTCTACAGACTTTTCTGATACTTTATTGTTCAGTTGCGTCTTGATGATCCGTGGCTTAAAGCCTCCATTTTTTCTAATCAATTCGTCTTGGCTTTTCAATTGTAGCCCTGATCCAATATCGGCATTCATCCCCTTCATCATATCATTTTTGTTGTTAAAATATATTAGGATATATTTAATTTTGTTGACCCTAATAATTTTTCCGAAAAATCCTCCATATTTCTTAATATTTTCTTTGATAATTACACTATTTAATACTTCACTTCCTGTAGTAATTTTTTTTAATGCTTACTAACTATATTTTCCTTTTAATTCCTGTGTCATTAAATCAGAGTCAAACATGATGAAAAAATATTGATGACTATTCCTAAAAATTGTGATATTAGCTCCACCTCGTGCATAAGTATTTTCATACTCTTTGGTAAAACGAAGTCTTGTCTTGACCGTCTTATATTTATAAATCGTTTGACTGTTATTTTTCCACATAGCCTACATCTCTTATATATTCATATATTTCTTCGTCCGACCAGTACCAAGGAAAATCGTAAAATGTCATATCACGTGATTTATCGGAATATTTACTGGACTTTTTCTTTCTTTGACCTGAGATATCCTTGTCTTTTTTGTGAAAAAAACTCTTGTTCCTTCTTCTCTAGCTCCTTAATTTTTTCGGTAATTATTCTGACTTCTCCTTTTTCTAATTTTATTCGTTCTTTAACTGTTACATCAACTTCTAATTCTCTAACACGATTTTCCAATTCTCCCTTACACTTTATGATTTCCTCATCTTTACTCGATATTATTCGTTCCTTGTTGGTTACTTCATTTCCAAATTGTCTTCCAGCTCACGTGATATTGTATCTTTGCTGCGCTCGCTTTGAAGAAACGAATATTTTTTTTTCAAGAAACTTCGTAAATTTTTTTCTAATAAAAGTTCAACTCGTCCTTATTATAAATAATATGAGGAAGTCTTCTGAATTTTAATACATAGTCCTTTTTTATTATTGTTAGTTTTATCATACTTTTTAAATGTTCGTTTAACCAAAGTCTTATACTCGTTGGGCAAATTTATTTTATGTACTTTGTATACTTGTGTCATATCAAAATCCCAAACTCTGTATAAAAATCCTCTATAAATTTGTTAACCGCTTTTTCCCGCACTAAAACCATGTTTTCTGACATATTTGTATATGGTTTAATAAAATATTTTGTTTTTTTATAATATATTTTCTTCCATTAAAATTTTGGTACGAAAGAGCGTCATGATTAAACTAACAAGGATTATTAGGATCAGTATCGAAATTGATTAAATGATTAATCAGATCTTGATCTTGGTATAAAATAATAAAATATAAAACGCAATGTGCAAAACTTATTATAATAAGAAATAAAACTAATAAAAACAAATGATCTGTTTTGCAATATTCAAAATAAATACCAAAAGATTCAAATGCTCTAAAAAATAACAAAAATCTAATATCTAAAAAATAGAGGTCATTTAGGTTTACCTTTACATTTATTTAAACTTTTGAAAAGGGAAATTCACAAAAAATGAAATAAAAGATATTCACGTGGGAATAAAACAGTGAAAATAGACTAAACCTAATACTTACATATGTGTGTAAAATTTTGTGGTCACGAGTGACTCACCAAATAAAATCATTTTAGATTATCTATCGCGCTCATCTTTTTTTTCTCCAACTCGCAATTGAATAAATTTTCTTTCTTACACCTGTCTAAAAAAAACTAAAAAAAAATGAACATTGACAGAGACGTACTTTATTTAATAACAAAAATTTTGCAAAATGACAGTGTATCACTTTATTCATTTCTTTTAGTTAACAAAATTTGGTGTGAGGTAGCAGTACCAGTATTATGGGAAATTCCTGGAAGAATTCCTTTAACTAAGAAAGCAGAGAGTATAATATTCAACGTTATACTTTCACATTCATCAGAAGACTCAAGAGATATCTTGAAGAAACAAGGAATCGACGATCTTTTCGCAGGAGCTTATCGACCACCTTCATTTAATTACATTAATTTCTGGAGACATTTAGATTTACAACTTTTAAAGGATATGATCAATTTAAGAAATGTCAAAGAATCAAACATTGATATTATAATAAATGAATTATTAAAATTATTTATTAACAAAAATACTAAATTTCTTTCGCTTTTTATTCCATATAATTTTAAATATCAATTACATAGTATTTCATGGGCTGAACAATGCTTTTCAATTCTTAAATTCCTTCATTGTGATGATTGGGATAAAAATATTATGGAAGGATTAGCTATAATAGCTAAATCAATTAATAAACTCATATTACATACTGTATATCTTGATAATGATGACATTCCTGGAAGCTTAATATTAATTGAAAATCAAAAGAATTTGAACGAAATTCAAATTGAATGTCGTGATTTTATAGAATTCAAAATTTTTGAAAAATCACTAATTAAAAAAGCAGATACTATTCAACATCTACGAATAAATAGGAATCCTGGTGATGAATTTCTTTCATATTTTGTAAATTTAAGTAGTTTAAAAATAGGCAGGTATGATTATGCTGTAAAGAAAACAAATTGGTGTCATTTGGAGAGAGTATCTTCACCTGGTTTAAAAGTTTTAATAGCCAATATTGAATCACATCAAAATTTAGATAGAATGATTAAAACTAAAAATGGTCATCTTCATGAAATCACTCTTACTCATAGTGGTATTGTTAGTGATGCTGATTATAATAGAAGACTTATTCGAGCAATTTATCAGAATTGTCCAAATCTTAGATATCTTAGTATGCCAATTAAAGAACAAAATATTCCTGAATTTGAAAGGTTATTAATTAATTGTCAAAATTTAAATGGATTAATTTTTGNTCTAGAAATAAAACAAATTGGTGTCATTTGGAGAAAGTATCTTTACCTGGTTTAAAAGTTTTAATAGCCAATATTGAATCACATCAAAATTTAGATAGAATGATTAAAATTACAAATGGCCATCTTCGTGAAATTACTCTTACCCATAGTGGTATTGTTAGTGATGCTGATTATAATAGAAGACTTATTCAAGCAATTTATCAGAATTGTCCAAATCTTAGATATCTTAATATGCCAATTAAAGAACAAAATATTCCTGAATTTGAAAGGTTATTAATTAATTGTCAAAATTTAAATGGATTAATTTTTGAGTATGAAATGCATTTTAAATATAAGAGTTTATTTGAAATATTAATTAGATCATCGCCAATAAGTTTGTATAAATTTAAAATTTATTTTAATCGGAAATTTGGACCCAAATTTAAATTATTAAAATCATTTTTTGATAATTGGAAAGATAGACATCCTATGATATTACAAATCAATATGTTTAATTTTGATGATTATCGAGAGATGGATAAATTGAAAGAGCTGGTTAAAAAATATGAAGTAAAAGGAATAGTTCAAAGATGTGACTTTAATTGCTTTCATGATTATGATGAATTTGATTGGATTCGAAAAAAAACAGATGTTTATTAACCACAAGTATCTGATTATATATAGAAATATCTTATATGTGATTATATATATATATATAGGCTTTATTAATTATAAATAAACACAATATTTTTATATGAAAAAAAAAAAGGTTATTAAGATGATGTAATTTTTATTTTATGATCTATATTAATAATCATGTTTACAATTATTAAGAAAGAATATTGACATTTAGAGAATAATGACAACATTCACTTTATTGTCTAAACTTTAGAAATTGTTTGATATCCTTCGTAAGAATTAATTTATCTTGTGTTTGCTCTGTCAAAACAAATTAACACCCTGAAATTTAAACATTTGTCATAATCTTTGTTCATAGATAGCGAAAAATGTTGATTAAATCTGATATATAGCAAGTATATAACCGTAAATTGTTGGTATGTGCGATATACTATGTTTATCAAAATTTAGTATAGCCTATATAATAAGTGATTATTTAGGTACACAAATAATAAATACATTTGCTTAAGATTCGCTTAGCATTTGCCTTACTTTAAACATGTCAACTTTAACCCCTATACACTCTACTTCCACTACTTATTTTGATTTATAAGTATTATCAACTTAGATTAATTTATCCCAAACTTTAACACAATGTTGCATTTTTTCATCTTATGTCTTTAAACAGCTTGTTTTAATTTTTATTAAAAATTTCATAATAAACAATCATTAACTAAATCTTTATAGGATACCAATTTATTACTACTTGTGCAACATTATCATAAAGAATAGGTTCTGTTGATCATATGGAAGCAGCTAGAACCCTTTACATTAAAAATTAAACAAGGAGAATAATTTTGAAATATTGCTTTGATAATTTATATCGAAAGTGATCTGGCAGATTAGCTCATCGTTTTCATCTAAATAAACTTTTTAATATTTTCTTATTTTTATTATAAAGTATGCCAAAACTTTCCAAGCAAGGACAGCATCTACATCAGATAACTTTGAATCGACAAAAAATACAAACTTAATGCAATTATAGCGAAATAGATGAAGTAACACTCACTCACGTACGAAATATTTTTCTAACGAAATACGTACGCACAGAACAAAGAAAAATTGTACAATAGCTGAGAAAGATATAGGTCTATTTAGAGAAGATCAGGCAAAAGAAATATTCAATAATTTAATTACAAATTATACGTAGTTTTCATATATTTATATGTATTAATTCTATTAATGAAACTAGAGGATAAAAATCCAGTGATACTGCTCCCTTGAATGCAAAACGTTTCTTTATTCTATTACTTGGGAATGGTATTTTGCGTCTGATATTCTTTACTGAAATTTGCTCAGCCATATTGGGTACGGATATCATGTTCAATTTTAACAATCTGTAAATCAAATGGCTTTGAGGAAAGTTTCATTTTACAATTATGCAATTCCTGTATCTTTAATGAAAGTTCAGATTTTAAGATACGTATTTCTGTTATTTTTAAAGTTAAAATAGAATCTAATTCCTTTAATCTCAAATTAAGAACGCTTATTTCTTTTCACTAACAATTGAACAATTCGCCCATACATATATGTGATGCGGTAGATTGTATTTCAAGAATATTGTAGCTTAAGACTTTCCAACTTTGTCGTTAGACTCTGAATTCATTGTATAGGTACCCTTCAGGTATACTATCTGTTACTCAAGAATCATAACATCTTTTGCATCAGTTAGTAATTGTTTTACCTCTTTACTTAATTTCTTTGAAGAGCTAATAATTTGCTCTAATTCATTCCACAATTGCAAATTTTCGTTTGCAAGCTTATTACATGTATCACATAGTTCTTCACATTATTCAAATACTGTAGATAGAGGCCATTGTCTATAGCGAATTCTACGTAAATCATGTGTTTATTACATATCACATAATTGTGATTTTGTAATTATAATAAATTAAACTTTTATTATGTACTGTATGATGTATTTCCACTTCCAATCAAGGTCCACATAAATCTGGTCCAAGGAAAAAAACTTCTCAAAAGACTCGATTTTACCAGTTTATGAACATTTCCTTATTTCAAAAAGCTAGTCCTGGATCGGTATTCTTTGGAATAGTCAAAGAAATAGTAATTCATTTAAGCAAAATGTTTAATATCTTAAATAT